ACTCATTTGGATGGCTTGTGGGTTATGTCCACGAAAGGACAGACATAGTGTTATTTGCTTGCCCTTCACAGGATTGGGTTTTAAGCTGAACTGCAGCAGCAGAAAGAAGAGAGGAAGAGGAAGAAAACAATGAGCTTTTCCTCAGGGTTGCATTAACGTGCAGCTCTCGAATTCTTGAATCGGCAGGAAAGTAGGCCAATTCATTGGGCTGCCCAAGAGTGGTGAGCTGGCAACTAGTGAGTCTTCACAGCTTTGATACTCAACCATTTAAGGGTGGCAGTTGGTAGATTTCCCTGACTGTGTCTCCCCCCTCCCCCAGCATCACTTGCTCATGGGGGAGGGAGGGGGACAGCCACCAATTGCTGTCCTTAATGTGCAGTGGGCTGGGTGTCAAACCTCTTTAACAACGATCAGGCCTGGAAAAGATCAGTGAGTCTCCCTGAGCAGAGATCAGTAAGAGTTATTAGGAAAAAGGTTAGAATTAGACCATTCCAAGTAGTTACAGTCTCTCTCTCTCTCTCTCCCTCCCTCCCTCCCTCCTTGCCCTCTGTTTGATGCGAGGGAGGGAATGCTTGCCTCTTTTGAGAAAGAGGTGCAGCCTGCACCTGCAAATTGTTTTGAAATGGCTGCTAGCTTTCTTATCACTATGAGAGCCAGCTGTCATAGTCAGCCTTTCAAGTAGCCCAAGTGACAGGTTGCCAACACAGAGGTTCTCTGCATTGTCAAACTGTCACTCTGCTCTTTCTGAATGCAGGTCTACCACTCTTCTGAAAGAATGTTAATCCAGTGTCAAAAAATAGCTGGGCTGACAAATTGATGGAGTGCAGAAGGGGTGCGGATGAGGTGGGATGGAGCTCCCCTGATGCATCAGACAGTCACCCTCCCATTTTATCCCATTCACCTCCAATCCATCAACCACTCACTCAGCCTATTTTGAGGGGCAGGTTTAGTGGTCTTCTAGAAGAGTGGCAGACACACATTCAGAGATAGCTTCAGTGACAGGTCACTGGAATAGTGGAGGAACTGCAAGGAACATTGGGCATCTCCTTCCCGTTTTACCCCAACGAATCTCTCTTGCACTGTGCCAAAGAGGAAACAAACAGAACTATTGTTCATTTCACCATAATTCCTATATATCCCAAATCGATAAGTGCTCAAGGCAGTACCAACTAAGAGTGGCTGTGGTTGGCAGCACCTAGGAGTCATCTGTGAGGTAGGCAAAATGGCCTTTCCCTTATAAAAAGTAATGAAAACAGCAGAAAGTATACCCTAACCCCCTGCTCAGCAGAAGCTGCAGAGAATGTCTATGGCACTCATGTAGGACCAAAGCAGCATCACAAAGCTGGCAAAACTTAGCTCTTTCTCAGTCTAAAACAGCCTACTGGATTAGTGCTTTCCAGGGGTTCCTAGTCCCATGAAGATCTAGCAGCTTTCCAAAAGAGTGATAAACCCATGTGCACAAGGAGCCAGTTTAAGACCTGAGAGTTGCTTTGGGATCGGCCTGTTAATATTACTTGGACATATCCCTCTGCAGAAGCCAGGTGTCCAGTCTCTCCTCCACTCCAAGCCAAAATGACCATGAAGGTCAGTACCTACAGTCAGAGGGAAGGAGGCATGCTCACAGCACCCTCAAGCGAGGCAGCCCCTGACTGCATCATCAGCTTCTTCATCAACAAGGCATTGTAGATGCTTGTATGGCAAGATAGTACCTGGAAAAGGGGGAAAACACTGTTTTAAAACTGGATCAGCTACAGATGAGTTTAAGCTGCGTCTGCAATGGGCTGGGATGAGATTAAAGGAACATCGTATGCTATATCTTTTAAAAGCAGTAAGACACCTTTGTGCTGCAGTTAGTTAGGCATATGGATGAGCCCGGTGACCTTGTCCACCTAGCTTATCTCTACCACTGTCGAAGTTCCACAATAACCCCTGGAGCCAAAAAGCTTTGCCTCCAGAGGAGAATCTGGCAGGATCTGCCTGCGACCAGAGTTGACTAGTTTGTGCTGCCTTAGAAGTTGCTCTCCAGAGGGAGACACCAAAGAAGGAGAAGAATCTCATTGTAGCAGTAAAAGAGGGCAGGGATCAACCCAGTTCTATGTCTTTGTGTGTGTGTGAGAGAGAGAGAGAGGGGGGGGGAGGGAGAAAGAGAGAGAGAGAGATGGACAGGGGCATCTGCAAGGTGGGTCAAAAAAGTCAAGATGGCCATGACCATGGCATTGAAGCCCTGCCCCTTTTTTACATAAATTGTGCAAGGCAGAGCTTCAATCATGCAATCATAGCCAGCATCTTGACACACATACACAGACCCCTGTCAGATGCCCCTGGAGAGAAAGAGAAAGAAAGATAAAGATAAAGCTTCCTTAGGCTGAGTTTGCGTAACATACTCACCTGTAGTTAACTGTTACTGTTCACTGAATAAATCCAACTGCTTGCACAACACTCTAAATCATGGAAAATACCCCAAACCATTCACTAATGAACATACTGGCTAAATTCACACAACATGCTAGGTTAAAATCTAATCAACTAATCTGTGGTTTAGGGTTTTGGACAGACCCAACCAGTATAGTTATTCATTGGCTTTGGGTATTTTGTGTGAACCCAGATAACTGGATTAATCATAGATGAATTCAGCTACAGAGCTATAAACTCATCTAGCCTAATTTTAGTCTAATGTTAATCTGTTACTCAAACCAAACCTGTGTCTTCTATTTCCACTTCTAGAGGAACAGCTGCTTAGGGAAAGGGCCTCTTGTATTCTCCCCTGCAAAATGCCATACAGAGTGATGGGAATAGATGAATACATTATTAACAATCACTGAGCCAGAAATAAACATCACTGGCCTTACTGTAAAAATCGTTACAACTTCATATCATATGACAATATTAAATATTAGAATGGCTATTTGGCATATGTTGTGGAGAAGATATACAACATACAGTATTGGACAAATCAATTCAAAGCTGTGAAAGAAACAACTGCATTATTTATGGAATCATGTATAGTTTTGACAGGTACTAAAAAACCTGCAAATACCATTACGTACAAAGAAACACAAATACCTTGGTCAAAAGGATACATAATTCTTAATCTTTATCCCTAATTCACATCTCTATTTTCTCATCATTTCTTAATAGGAGCTTAGTGGGATTTACTGTGCGTAAGATTTTAGCATGTGTGCCCCCCACATACAATATCAGTTCACAGCTTTTGTAAAATGCAGTAACACCATTAAAAAAACCAGGCACTCAAACTAGACCAGCATAAGTCACCTCAGAAGATTGCCCACCCCTAGTGTAATGCAAATCTACTACCCTGGAGCAAGATATCATCTTTGGCTAAAGTACAAATCCCTTTGAAAATATCAGGGCAGATTTTGAGCAAGGCAAGGAAGATCTGTCCCTTCGGCATATTGTCTGGGTAAGAGTTGGAGAGGGAGGGAGGGAGGGAGGGAGGGAGAGAGAGAGAGAGAGAGAGAGGGAGGAAATGCTAGAGAGAGACAAAGGATGTATATTGTCCAACCCTACTTTTGCCTCCCTCCCCCCTTCAGTGCCATCCACCGATTGGGATGTGGCCCTCAACGAACTTCCTGAGTGAATGCAGTCCTCCTTTTGTCATTGTTTGAACATACGTCTGTACCAGTGCAGAGTTTTCAGACGCAGCCAATGTTTTAGCAGCTCCAAAAGAGAACATACTAATATTGGATTATTAGTTTGAACCTTGTGAATAATCAGCATCTGAAAGTGGGCTGGATGGTGATGGATCCCACATCCATTCACTAAATGCTCCGTCATTAGAAACCTAAAAGAAGTTACTTCTTTTGCAAAAAGGAAAAAAAAAATCCATGCATCTATTTATTAGAAATTGTTCATTGTATACTATGGCTTAATACTATTAATACAAATAAAGGTAAACCTTTAGACTGAATCTTCCCTAAAGCAAGAATGAGCAACTGCACCCCTGAGTTTCTTTAAAGCAGACCTCAAAACCCTCTCCAGATTCAGTACTGTGATTCCCCAAATTAACCAACATAATCTCCAGTCCTCCATTTCATGGGGGGAATGCATGGAAGCTGTACTGTAATCCCTAAGGAAAGAGATAATGGTTACATTTTTGGACTAGGTCTTGCAGAGTTCCCATTTCAATTCCATCTGCAGCCACAGAAACTCACGGGAGGACTTTGGAGCTGTCATTGTTTTTCTCAGTTACAAAGCTATTGCAAAGATTTGCAACTATGGGGAAATTAGAGAACAAAGTGCTATATATGCCACCTCAATCCTGGTGGAAATAAAGTATATAAATCAATCAGCAACTAAATAAACAAAAAGTCGTAAACATTTTTTAGAAAAAATTAAATCGCCAAATCATAGGTTGGAAGGGTCCTAGGAGGTCATCACATCCAACCTCCTGCATGCTGCAGGATTCACTACACTATCCGTGATAGAGGACTGTCCAGCATCTGTTTGAAAACCTCCAGTGAAGAGAAAGAAACCACACTCCATGCGGTCACCTGTTCCACTGATTGACAACTCTTACTTTCAAGAAGTTCTTCCTAATGTCTAATTTGTATCTGTATCCTTAAGTTCATCCCATTAGTTCTAGTCTTATTGTAATGGCCTGTGAGAATAACTTTGAGGAACAGGAGGAAGAGCCACAGTCAAGGAAATGGTCAGATAAGAGAAATCTGAACCCAAAACAGAAATGTAATTTGAGAAAATGTCTTAGACTTCGGCCTCTCTAGTTCTCTTTAGGATAAAGGCAGTGAGGGGAGACACACATTCAGACTTGCACATTTTTGTTACTGTAACCCTATAATAAAAGTAGAACTAGCATTCATAACATTGGCTTCGTTGTCTGGTCTACCTCAAAGGGCTGATAGTTATCCTCTGGAGCAAGTGAGAATAAGCTCGAAACTACAACGTGACTGCTCTTCAGATATCAGAAAACAGCTATCATGTCCCCTCTCAACCTTCTCTTCTGCAAGCTGAATATACAGTACCTTTAACTGTTCCTCATAGAACTTGGTTTCCAGTTCTTTCACCATCTTAGTAGCCCTTCTCTGGACTTGCTCCAGTTTATCCATGTCTTCTTTAAACTAGGGTTTGCGTAACTAAACACAATACTCCAAGTGAGGTCTGACCAAGGCAGAGCAGAGTGGGATAATTAATTCCCGTGGTCTGGACTCTGTGCTCCTCTTGATGCTCCTCAAGATGCTGTTGGCCTTCTTTGCAGCTGCATTACACTGCTCATCATTTCAATTTTATCCTTATATGTGTTATGACCATGCTCATTTTATATCACTACTCTGAGATATGCAACATATTAAGTGCAGCTCCCAGCATTAAAAAGTTGCCTATTTGTGCTCTAAACCATCTGTGCAGAAATGTTTTGAATATATGCATGCTTTAGAATCAATCATGTCTTTTCAAGCAGATATTTTCCAGCATCCCTTTGAAGTTACAAGTGTGGTCAGAACATTTGGCACATCAGCTCATTATATATACTTTTTCTCCCAGCCATTGGTTGGTAGTTTCATACCACTTCAGCAGTGCTCAGTCTTCCAGGGCAAAATACAGCTATGAGGCCAGCCTTGTGCAAAAGCTGACGTAAAGAGCCAGAGTACAGTACACATAAGCTGACACAAACTGTTCTGTTTATCTTCTACCAGGGTGTGGGTTTGGTGAGTTGTAAAATAGACACTCAAAGGGAGTTCACTTCCACCAGGAAAACTCCTGCACTTAGTTTACTATGTCAAAAGTGGTGGGAAAGGAAATGTGTTCCTAGCCATCCAACCCCATCAAGCTAGACAAATAGGGAATTGCTTAAACACTTGAAAAAGCCCATTATAAGGATAGGAATGGAAAATAAAGGATTGCAGAGGAAGATTATTTCACACTGTTGATAACCTCTTTGATCGGTTTTGCCAGTAAGCCATCATTCAGATACAGTGGGCAATGGCTTTGTTTGAAGGAAAACAGGCTGGTATTAGAATTAGAACATGCCAGTGATTGATGGCTAGCTCAGAGTTATGAGGAAACATTCACAGGTTGCTAAACTCTGCATACCATTTTTTTAATTACTGATGTTTTGTATCTTTTTTAAAAATTTGCAGATCAACCTGGAAGTTATCCTGAATAGCAACTCATTCTTACACATAGGTATTTATTTATTACACATAACCCCTACCCTTCCCTTTCCAGGATCCTAAATCAGTGGGCATCATATTCCTCATTCTTAATCAGTTTTATCCTCACAGTGATCCTGCTCAAGTAGGCTGGGTGGACAGATTGGCCTAAAGTCACCCACTAGCTACATGGCTGAATATAAATAAGAACTTGAATCTTGCCAATTCTAATTCAACAGTCTAATACTAGACCACACTGGACTATGCATGCAATATTTCAATTTCAGAAGTGTGGTTATAATAATCTATCATATCCCCCTCCACACAAAAGCATTAAATAACACTTAAAGATTTAGAGATTATGGCTAACCCTTTCCAGCTACTTCTCTTTCAATTTACTTAACAAAGCTGTACTTAAAATGCCACACAAATCCTTACTTGTGTCTCAGCGATATTTAAGTCGTCTTTTAAAAAATTTAACT